TGTGAATATAAAGGAAATAAAAATAATTTAATTTTCTTTTAATCATTTGTCATTCAGAAGAAGAAGTATCAGGTGCCCAGGTAAACAGTTTTATCATGTCTCAGCCTTTGAATCAATATCAGACATCAAACACCATTACAGCCAAGTGTGTGAAACTTATATGTATAATACTTCAAGAGCAGCTTTTATGCTGTATTGGCTGTTGTCATAGCTGCTCACCAACTCAGCCAGTTTATTTAACACACAATCCTTCATAAAAAAAGAACAAAATTGTCTTAAGAAGTGTATATCTATAATATTCTATTATTAGATATGTTTAAATGATTTAATATGTGTGCGTCTATGTACGTGAATTCAAAGTCCTGCTTGCTGGAACATGAAGATCAGGGAAATGGAAAGTAATGTTCTTCATGGCGGTACATTGTAAGGGGTGTTTCCAATGTTTCAGCAAAAAAGATCACAGGAACATATTCCTGTTACAGATTAAAGCTACTCTCTTGATATCTACTTTAAATTCAATAATGGGAGAACGCCATGCTTAGCACTTAAAAACCTTTACACTACAATACAAAGACATTTCCTTTCACTTCAGTTAACAAGTCCCCAAATAGTATTAAGCTTAATTAGTAAAACTTTAGGTTCTAGAACATGTTTGTCTATTATGTCCACTAGTTTCTGCCCCCATATACACCAAGTATGGAGAAATGCGCCCAGCTGCTTGAGGTTTCTGCCTTAAAAGTTGTTTCTTGCCACTGTTGCCAAGAGCTTTAGGATTATGGTCTTGACCTGCTCTGTATAAAAAGTGCCTTGCGATAACTTCTGATTGATTATTTGGCACTATACAAATAAAATTTATTTAAAATAGATTAGAAGATCGATACCACTGTCAGGTTTTTATTATGTAGTCTATGAAGCTACTACCAGCTGCCAGTTAAAGGTGGAGTAATCCAATCAAATATACTTGTGGGTTTTTTTTTCACATTCAGCAAATATCTCCTCATGGTCTACTAGCTTTTCACTCTTTGTGAGTGCTGAAAAAAATCTGGTAGTTTTATAGGAAGTTATGTGACAGACTATCGTTGGCTGGGGACTTTTTCATAGTGACAAGACTACAGTAAGTTACTGTGCACATAACCCAACGTAACCCCTCTCACGAGATGTTAATCAATGAGCTGTAGAGCTGCTCGTTGGAGGATGTTGGTTCCTTAGTTTGGACAGAGCTAGGCTGGAAGTTTCCCCCTGTTTTCAGTCTCTATGCTAAGCTAATCTAACTCCTAACCTACCTCCTACCTTCACATTTACCGAACAAAACTAAATGTGGTGTCAATCTTCAGACTCTTCTGAAACTCTTATAAGTAAATAAGTGTATTGTACAAAATGTTTTAACTATTTATTTAATGAAACAACCTGTCTGCGTTGGCTATATGTTTGTCTGGGAAGGTCCAGACAAAAACTGTTCTCTTTATCAGATGATTCAATACCTGTTGAAGATAGAAAAGTGGCCACTTTATTAGGTACAGCTATACAATTTAATTCAAAACACAGGCTCAAAAACGTATTTTACAAAGATAATAATGTTCAGTTTTGACTGACACTTTAAGAGAGACATATGTTTAACAATGTTTAATAGACAATATGTGTCAGAGCACTGGATAGCATCGCTGGAGAGTGTATTTATCCATCTATGAAACCACATCACTAGTTTTAAAAAGAACACAATGTAACCGACAGCATGATGTTTTCCCACATGTGTAAACTGGTTTGACTCAAGAGTTTTTCTCTGGGGACCTTTTTGCAGTTTTAACACTGCACATGCTGTACAGTCCCATAGCGTGCAGCCTTGTCAGAGAGACACAGTTGACTCATCAGCCTCAAGGGAAAGCAGTGGCAGAGAAACAAAGGGAGTTCAGAGTTTGGGGGGAGAGAAAGAGAAAGGAAAGGAGGGGAGACAGACTTAAAGACAAAAAGAAAATAAGGGAAGGAGGGAGGGAGGTTTGGATGTCCAACAATTTGTTTCACTGCTGCACTAACACAAAACAGAAGACCGCTTACTCAGATTGTGTGAACTTGCCTGTGCACATGAACTTTACGTGTGTGTGTGTGTGTGAACATGTGGTTGTTTGTATGTTTGAACTGAAAAAAGGGTGGAGAAGGTGTTTTTATGGGCTTGTACGCATGCACGTGTGTGTGTGTGTGCGTGTGTGTGTTTGTGTGTGTTGGTGGGTGGGGGGGATGTATAGGAGTGTGTATGTAACGGAGGTAGTTAGAGGAGGAAGTGGCAAACTGATAGATGGGAACAGAATGTTCTATGGAGTGGCAAGAGAAAGGGAGAGTGAGAGTTTATATGGGGGTCTCTCTCTCTCTCTCTCTCTCTCTCTCTCTCTCTCTCTCACTCACTCACACATACACAGACACAGACACACACAAAGGAGTTACATGAGAGCCACATACCTCACACACACACACACACACACACACACACACACACACACACACACACATGTGCATGTAAGCATGATGCCATGAAAAAATGTGCCCACTCATTTCCACATGTAATGCAAGTGGAAACATGAACACACTCACAATCATGTACTCACACACTGTTTTTAGTTTCGTCATAGTTTGTGTGTTTTATCACATGCGTGAAGCAAGTAAATGAAACAGAACAAAAGGATCCAGACATACCACACCTGCACTCACACATTTAGTCCTGTTTATGAAGCTCTGTATGCGATTTCCTTTTTAATAAACCATTGAGGGCAATGATTCGTGTTTATCTTGGACATTAAGTTGATATAGTGACATTCACTGGAAAAACAGAGACTGAGAGAAACAAAGAGCGCTTGTTTTTATCTGTCAGTTACCGTACATCTGTGCCTGAGTGTCTGCGTGTTTCATACCCACGTTTCTGTGCATGAGTGCATGTGTTGTGTGTTTAGCCATGCTTGTGTGCTTACTTACTATGGATTTTCTTTCTGGTGTATGAATTTGTGTTTGTGTGTGTGAAGGGGAGCCAGGGTGTCATCAGCACTGCTCGCCTCTGGAGAATTTACAGTATGATGGAAATACTTCAGATGTGTTCGTGCCGTTCTCCTCAAGGCTTCACTGATTCTGATACAATCTCACTTGGCAAACGCAGTGATCCTTTATTGGAAACTCGTTTGGCATTGAACAACTGCTAAAAGGGATGAAGAATTATTTAATGTCATCATATTAAGGAAGCAAGTTATGTTACTAAGCAGCCTGTCTTATTACTTTCTGATATGTCCTTGGTTTTCAATCTCTCATGTTCTAGGAGTGTTTTTGGCACCTGCACAGCCTTCTGGTACATTTCATTTTCACTTTTGAAATCTATTCTAATCATAGTTTTGCAGAAAGAAGCACGGCATCACTCATACCATAATTTGTAGACGGCTATGTCTTTTAGTTAATGGTTAATACATGTATTTGGAAGAATGCGCTGTCCCGGTTAACCAGCATCAGGGTGCTGCTGAAATCAGCAGAGCACGGAAAAATCAAGTCAGAGCACAGTTTGCTGTTTCAGCTTCTCACATGCGACAGGGGAATCTCGCAGCACTGGCTCAACACACACAAACACCACGCTCATCTCACACACAGAATGACAAAGACATGCTCTTTGTATTTTCTCATTAGTACAGAGTTGCGATGCCAGTGCTGGGGTCGAGACTTCATATGATGTTGAGGCAGGTCAGATGTGATCGATGCGTCTGTCATCCAGTTGTGGCTGGAGCGTTAACATCAGGCACCAATCAGACCAGGGTGTGGCCCTGTGTATGTGTGTGTGTGTCGGTGGTGATAGTCATGTTAGAGAATGTGTTGAATCCACAACATCTTAACGACCATTCAGACATATGATTTTAATGGTTTTAAATGATAACAGATGGATTAAGGCATGCAGTTTATAATTACCAATGGTTAAACTAATCACTACCAGTCTTATGTTCTATTCTATTTTCTAGTTTAGGTTGGACATATAATGTTAATGCTTATTGGTCAACATTGTCAGTTTTAGGAATGTTGTGTTGTCAAGCATTGGACAGATTTTGGGTTGCCATGGTTGCCTCCTTCCCTTCTTTTCAGAAAGAAAATGATAGTTGCACACTATTGAAGCACCAGGGTTTCAGGATAGCCTTATCTTTTTTTTCCCACTTTTTGAAATTGAAATGACCCAGTAGTCAGTGCTTCACCAGATGTTTGCTTTTTTTCATTATTTTATTACTCTTTTTCTCCACACATCTCTGTGTAGATGATGTAGGCCCAACAGATGTGGCAGTGGATCCTGGTACCCCGGCCCCTGAAGCAGACGTACCGCCTGAGGTCACAGAAGAAACTGTCGCCGATGAAGACACCGGCCATACAGCCGAGGTGAAGAAAGGAAATATTTTGGTGGTTCATTTCTCAAATTTAGTCTTGTGGGGGATTAATGTAATGAAATGTTTCTTCTCGTCTTTAATCCTTGATCTCACTCCAAACTCTAACAAACTCTTATCTTGCATAGCCAAGAGCACAACTAGAAGGGTTGGGCACCATAAACACATACAGTATCTATAATCCAACTTTCAGAGCCCCCCAAGTTTTTCACAGTAACGGTGCCACAGTGCAGCCCTCATCTAGTTTAACTTACTGAGGCCTGGATAAAATCTAGTTTTAAATCCTCAGTCATTTAATAAGAGGAGACTGATATGGGATGTCATACAGGAAGAAGCACCAACAGAGGATGAGGTTGAGCCCACTGCTGAGCCTGCAGCTGGTGCTGATGAACCAGTGACTCCTCCAGCTGAGGACGCAGAACAAAGTACTCCTGTGGCTGAAGAAGCAGAACCAGAAACTCCTGCTGGTGAAGGAGACGCAGAACCAGAAACTCCTACAGCAGCAGACACAGAGGCGGAAGCAGCTGCAACGACACAAGGTGTTCAAATATGCAAATTCATTTTGTTTTCTTAGGGCTAATATTAATATTAGTATAGTATTAAGTTTTTTTTTTTTTTTTTACAAATAAGGCCTTATAAGTTCTGTATTTGTTCCTTAGTTACCTTTTCCTTCTATTAATTATGTCAATGTGCCATGGTGTGGCAAAATACTCAGCCTCTCTGGTTTCGTTTGCAATCTGCATTAAATAGTGCAGTAAAACAAGCCATCCCAGCCCATGCCATAACACGTTGGATAAATGGATTATACAACCCATCAGTGATCTAATACTTCCTCTCTGTTTCACTCTCCTGTCCAGAGCCTGCAGCTATTCCAGATACAGATGTTGAGCAACCAACCGACAGTGGAGAAGAGGAACCTACCTCAAGCATTGATACAACACCTGCTCAGGAGGAGGTCAGTAGCAGTTTTAGAAAGTCTTAAACATCGTATTTAAACTTACTCTGACAAATATACTATCATTATATTATATATAATATTATTCAGGAGCTGCTATGCTAAAGAGAAGTCAATGTGTCCTTTCATTTTTAATAGGATGGAGCTGATGACCAGACCCCCGCAGTGACAGATTTACCTGTAGCAGGTAATGAGGAAGAACCAACAGATCCTGCTGCTGATGTAGAACCAACTGATCAGGGGGTCGATGTAGAAAAAATAGAACCAGAGGTCAGAACAGAAGTGAAGGCCCCTTTACCTACAGGTAAGAATATAGATTTTTCGGTGCATGTTTCGCCCACTGTTGTACATGCACTCATGGCACTGGTACACTGTCACTCATTAAAGCAAGAATTTCCTTGCTTGTTTCCATGTTTTTTTCTTAATTACCCTGGTACATTACCCAGTGAAGCAGACCAATCTGCCGAGCACATGATGTATCATTTGCTCTGGCAGATTGCATTTGTGAATTAGTTTGCCTACTGGTAGCTACATAATAGCGCCCTGAGACAGTGGGTAAGAACTTGCTACATGCTAAGGCATTTTGGACACAGTGTGTAACCTATAGGTGCATATAGGTTAAATGTACACAAACATATAGAAGAGCGATAGAGAAAGCTGAACGCATGTATTCTCTAGATGAGCTCACCCCTATAGCATGTGTGTCCTTTACCTGAGGAAACTGTACGAACTTGTTTGTACAACTGGTACATTCTGGTACATTCTGGTACATTCTGCTGAAACTAATATGTCATGTTATGTCCTGGTATATATACATATATACAGTGAGAAATATAGAGAAAGTATAATTTGATAAACATTCACTATGTAAACACTTTTTATTTACAAAGAAACTACTATGGGGGCTTTACTATAATTTAATCTATCACTGTTAGATACGTAGCTCCTCTTATGTCAACAATTCAATTGGGAAAACATGAATTAATTTTGAGATGAGAAAGCACTGTCTTTTTTCTTTTTTGTGTGTATTTGTATTAAAAATCAAAGTAACAGATTTGTGTTCCCCAGCTGTAGTGCTGTAGATAACAGTGCCGCTAGACATTTGTCAAAATGGATTTTAGATCAAACATCATGATCACGGTTCTGTTCTTTGTCTTTGCCAACAGTTAAAGCTGACGCTGCACCTGAGGTGAACGCAGGTAATAACAAAAAAAAAAATTCATTTCATTATTCTTTTTTGAACTGAATAAACCTCAACCTTTATGGAGCCAAGTCACACAATAGCTAAACAAATTACTAACGCACACCAGAAATAATTGCTTATAATTATGACTCAGAAGCTCTTTTCATCATATAACAGAGCACATCAGCACAACAAACTACACTAACAATGAATAACCAAAGAAGCTGTTTAGTTGATGCTTGCGATAGATGGAAATGTTAAAATCCTTTGAGTGGGAAATAGTAGTCATGATTGAAGAGAGAACTTTTGAAGCTTCTCTCTGTATGGATTGAGTTAAGGCTAAACTGACTGAGCACTTCTGTTGTGTATTTCCCTTTCTCGAACTCTGAACCTACTACAATATTTCAAAACAAATTAGATTTCCACTGTGGCATTATTTGACCCCAGGAATACCCTGAAAATGATCATTTTGTGTTATCAGTCATTTAAAAAAAATATACATGTCCTGCCTTCATGACGTAGCATTTATGATTTTGCTGCAACTCCCTATTTTCTGTACAAATGAATGGAAAACAGATGTGCCTTTCTATCGGAAACCTACAAATCACTTAGGAAGGTTATGAGGTGGGATTCTGGCCCACACAATTTTACCTCTTAAATTATGGGTGGTATTGTTTAAGTAAGCAAACCTCCCAAATTACCTCAGTGTGGTTTTATCACAATCAAAGTGTCGCCCTCAATTATTGAACTTTTCATAGAATGGTATTCTTTTTTTCCATCATTTCCCCTTTCTCAAATTTGAATTCATGCTCTATCCCTTTATGTTAATCGAATTTCAGCATTTCCTGTCCCAAGTAGTGCTGTTGTTTGTCTTTACCTGTTCTATAGCAGGACATCCTCACTCAAGGATAGTCATTTTATATTCGTCCATTATCTTCTCTCTTAATAGTGCCAAGTAATGGGGCTGCCATTAAGTGTTAAGGAAATGGTTGCTATGGGAGGTTTCTTACATGTGATAACTGGCTGGGGAACATTTTCTCTCATGGTTTAGGAAACGAGAGGAGAGAAAGAGAAGAGAACAGGGAGGAGGGCAAAGTACAGACACAGAGAGGTGTAAATACAAAAGGAAAGAGATAAAGAGAACAGAGAAGGTGGTGAGGTTAATGGAAAGGCCAGAGGAGCATAAAAGAAGATAGAAATGAACAGAGAAGAATGGGAGTATCAGAGTAAAACCTGACTCAAACTATGGTTTCATTACTTAACATTCATGTGCCTATCTGTGCTTTACAATACATATTCACGATGATTTAGTGCCAGGATTTTTTTTGAGGTGAAAGAACAGGTCAATGGATGATTCTGCCTTTTAGGTTCTATCAGCCTCGAAATAATTCACCAATCCTAACTCGCCCTGCCCAGCCTGAAACTGTTTTGCACATTGAATCCCACATGTTGTATAAGTCACTTGGGTTTTCCCCCAGTTAGTATAGAGTCAGGGTAAGGTATTGTCCCTGACAGATAATATCCTTTAATTTAAGTCAACACTAGCTCACAAGATCACTGTCACACCCTTGCAGCAGGTAATGTTTCAGAGTCCTTATCGAGGACACCTCTGCAGGGCATTCACTAGGGGCCATGAGGGACTGAAGCTGGGAGTGCTTCCATGATGGCTGATTTTATCATTAGGTTAACATGAAATGGTGCACAATAGTGTTTTAAAGAGATGACATGTTTTTAGTGAACATCTGGAAGATATCCCTCTTGGGTGGGACAGTAAGAAAGGGAATTTCCCTAAGAGATTGATATTGCATTTCTGTAATATATAGGAGGGTCTGCATTGGACAGCCCATCAAAGGGTTAGTACTGTAACTACTCGTTGTTTAAATATATACATTTTACCAATCGCCTGTTAAATGATAACAGAAAAAGTGGTGATGATTCTGAATGTGTCAGAACAACCAGCAAGCAGAAAGAACATTTAGCACACAAATCTCATTGTTCAAAACACGGAATAAATAACTTCCAACTTCACAAAAACAAATACTGGCGGACTTATCGATACAATGGATGATGTATACCAGTATCAGGTACTTAAATAACTCACTACAAACTCACTCCTCTTCTTCCATTTCATTCCTTTCCTTTCACCGCCTGAGCCCGCCATGTCTTTGTCCCCAGAATGGTCTCAGTCACAGTTGCTCTTTCAAAATCAAGGCAGAAATGTTAGTTACATACTGTACAGAAGTCCACTGGATTTTGAACTGTTAAAAACAGTAAGCTAAAATAGGCTAAGGTCACAAAGGTTTGTGATATTTTCACAAATGAACTCCACTTCTCTGATTTCTGAAGCATAAATGGAATCGTCATGAGTAAAAAGCTAATGTTAGGCTAAAAAACAAACTACACTTCAAACATCACCGCCACTAAACTTCCAACTTGTAATTAAAATAGACAAGTTTGAATGTTTATGGTCTTATTTAACCACTTGTTAGCACCCACCTTTTTAAAGAAAACGCTTCAAAATTCATGGGTGGGGTATTTACTGATGTATTGTATGCCCTAGAACAAAACGTGAAAATCTCTTTAACTTGCGTTAACCACAGACCTTATTTCAGGCATCTAACCAAAAACCCATTGAAAAACCCATTGAGTTCAAAGCGAGGGAAGTGGAAGTGCTAAAAGGTCCAGTTCCGGCTTTTAGGACTCATTCCTGTAGCATTCTTTCTGTTCCGGTCAACAAGCGATTCCGCTCCTCTGCTCTTTTTTCTAATCACAAGTAGAGCTTTATAATAACCCCATGAATTATCTGTTTATCGATAAGTGGTGTGGCACCCACTTCTTGAGGTGGGGAGAGCTTCCATGATGGTTGATATTACCATTAAATAGTTAAACATGGAATGGTGTACAACAGTATAATAAGTTAGAGAGGTGTTTTTGGTGAACATCTGGAAGATATCCCTCTTGGGCGGGACAGTGAAAAGAGTGAAATTTCCCTACGGGGATTGGTATTGCATTTCTGTCACCAATGATATCAAATTCATTTTTCAGATGCAGGATTAAAGGAAGGCACCGCAGTGGACAACCCATCACATCCAGGAAAGAGCCGCAGTTCTGGGGGTTAGTACTGTAGCTCCTTGTATAACAGTTACTGTCGTTTTTATCATTGTAACAAGCAATAACCCATTCCCCAAGTATGGAGGGATGCACGCAAGAACCTTTGGGTACACAGTTAGCAACACAAACAGACACTGATGAAGAGATAGTTCAGTTTTGTTGGATTTGTACTATGTTTCCTAGTTAGCACAATCTCGCCTTTTTTTATCACTCTGCGGAACAGTGAGATTAGCCTTGTTTACTGTGTTTACAATGACTGGATTTCTATTGAATCAGCAGCATCTCCTTTGCAAGGAAAAACAAGATAGAATGTCTCCTAAACGGACGATTTAATGTGTGCTTGATAGCCAAAACTAACATTTAGCATGTGCATTTGTAAGTTTTTCTTGCTTTTGCTGTTGCCCTTTAGTTGTAACTGACATCAAGTCTTATTACTTAATATTAACACTACCTAACAAACAATTACATCAAATCATGAGGCAGCTATATTTATGAACACAGGGTATTGATTTTAGTCTGGCATCAAAACTACAAAGTTACACCTATACCAAATGGTTAGTAGCACAGGGCCACTCCGAGATAGTACCTTATAATTGTGCTTGTAGATATTCTTCTGGTGGATCTATATACTGTGATAATGCCTTTCCAATTTAACAAGCTTTGTTCCCATGACAAGAGAGCCAATTGCTCGTTTTACCTCATGGGTTGAATAAGTTTAATCACTAGCCACAAAGCAATTTGGTAGCAACGCTTCAACACTGATTTTCCCGAAGCAGCTCCTCTCATCGTTCACCCTTTATTCCCCAATCCATAAACCGATTCATCTAGGTTTGTATAATCATTATAATCTGGTGAAAGGCGCTCTTCCTTAGTGCTCTGTCATTAGCGGCTTTGTCAAGTTCAAGCAGGTAGATGGCAGTCATTATGTCACAGGCGTTTACAGACAGGCAACACATAAGGAGATAACAGTTTTGTTTGCAAATCCAATCAACGATAAGAGAAAAACAGAGGGTGAGTTTGTCCCTCAGATATTTTATCTCTTTAATATTATAAAAAGAAAAAACTTGGCATGCAGAGTGAGTGTGTGTGTTTCCAGACTGGTTAGGACAGAAACTTTATACCTCTCAATGCCTTTGAGGTATAAACTAGTACAAAGAGAAGGATCTTGCTTTTCTCCTCTTCTCCTCTGCCTTCTCCGCCTCTCTTACATGCATCATTAACACATTTTAACTTGAAATGATAATGCCCTTTTCTCTCTATCCTCCTTTAATCACTTATCTCTCTTTCTTTTCGTCTTCAGCACATTCTGCTGGCGCCAAAGGAGATGGTAAGGAATTTTTTTTGCGTCTGTTCATGGTCAAAATATGCATAATAACAACAACACTATTGACATTACACCATCTTCAGTCCAGATCACATGAATCTCAGTCAAATATCATTGTAGTTTTGCATCCACAGGAGAAGTAGTAGGGCTTATATAGTTCAGAAACTTGATGAAACACACAGGATATTACTGGCATGCCACTGACAATAAAAACAGGATACAAGACTCAGCGGAAAATACCTCTCTCCTATTGTTTTAGTTCAAACCATTTTTGAAACTGGCTTTCTTTGAGAGTATTTTACTATGAATTCTCACGCTACATCAGTTTGAAGTGCTGCATCTGAAGTTCTTCCGCACTGGAAGTAACTTGTGTTCCCGATTCTCGCACTGGAAAGCAGATACAATGCAATGACAGCTGCGTGTTTCTACCTGTTTAAATAAACTGTTCCTCATTTCCCCCACATTTATTATGTAACTCCCATAAGGTACCCTAATGCATGACTCTTAAACCAGTTTGTGGTGCAGTCTCATTTTGCTAACTGTATTTGTGTGTCCTTTGTTCTAACAGCAGCCAAACCTGAAGCCCAAGGTGAGTCATCCTTCTTCTCTTTTTTGTTTTGAACACATTAACCCACCCACCCATGCACTGCCCCACACATACCTGCAGCATAACCGTTCCCCTATTGCTGTGTGTCATGCAAAGAGCCCCGAGCAGGTGTGTTGTTGCTGCAGCTACTGCATGACATTTTTCCAATTTTTTTTTTTTTTTTCTTTTACACTTGAACCTTCCTTTGAACTTTAGTAAGTATCTTTGTATAATTTCAGAAATTACATGTTTAGGCAAAGGGGGCAAAAGGGGGATGGTTGTGCATTTAAGTGGCAATTCTTAAAAATTGGTATTTTAGGAAAGGTTAGTGGGATTTGAAAGTTTACATTCGTATCACAGCACTTGTTTATGTATGTTGTTTCTCACACTGGACAGGAAGTCAAATGTCAGATTTTTCTCTGACCTCTGACCTCCCAGCCATATAGCATACACAAATGTGATAGGGGTTGTGGCTGCTGTCCACATTTGGTTCCCATAGTTTTTTCTTTCCAGTCTCATAGTCCCATAGAGCTTTATCTCGGTATTTGTGCGCTTTTTTTACACCAGACAAACTGGTGTGTCCATGTTGTGGTTTTCTGACTTTGTGCACATACATGTTCATACACACCTGCATCCACCTTTATTTCCTTTTACTGACTCACTAACATTCCCCCGTTTTATTCCACTTAATTTCACTGACTCATGCCACTCCCTTGTTTTTTTCCTCATCTTTGGACTTTGTTTATTGTTGGATTTACTGTACTGTTTGATATTTTCTTAAGTTGCCAACTGCATTACACCAACAACAACCCTTCTCCTGCCATCTCTCTTTCTATTGTCCATTCAGCACATGCTATTATTACTCTGTGTTGATTGATTGAAGCCACTGCAGGGACAATAAAGAGAATGTAGGGCAACAGAATACAATCCACTGTGTCCATGTTATTATAAAAAATGACTTGGTGATGCACCTAAATCAGACCTTGAATTCTGTTAATGGAGTGTAACATAGTGTAGACGTCTTCCTTACTTCTGCCATTTCCTTCTTACTCTTGAATGGATTGTGAATTACACTAGTTAAAAGCAAATAATGACATTTTTGTGATATTTGCACTTATTAGCCTATTACCCTCTTATGCTACCTTAATAACAGTATGATGGTAAGTATTATTATTTTGAGAGGTATTTGCTGTTTGCTATGACACAGCATGAAAACTATTCAAATTGGTGTTGTCATAGTAACTGGGATACAGGTGCAGACAGATTTATGCTGTCACTGTAAATGCTTTTAGGGCGTCTAAATTATAGGATATGCAATTGCAATGGGATCAGCAAATGCTGAGACAAATTGATGCATCTGTCTGTCTCACACACACAAAGTCACACAAACACACATACGCAATATGTTATGTCATTTAGCCTCGCTGCTAATTTGCCATTCATTATTTGAACTGCAAAATGGCACCCAGTGTTGATACTGAACATTGCAATCACTGTGAGTAGGCTTTACATAGTGCAGTCACATTGGTATCAGCGCTGACTCACCCGTGTCAATTTTCTTTTTTGTGTGTTTCTTACAGAGGCCAGCTCTGGCTCTTTAGCAGCCATCGTGAGTGCAATTGCTGTATCTGTAGTGGGAGCAGTCGTTGGATACTTCACCTATCAGAAGAAGAAACTGTGCTTCAAAAACAGACAGGGTAATTATCTTCCTGACTAATTAACTTACCAAAAAAACCAAAAAAGAATAATGTGATACCTAACTGTTGTACATAAGGGTAAATATTTTAAGGGTACAAACACTTCAGTGTTTCAAGTTTCAATAACATGCAGGCTGAGATTTTGTTATTTTTCTATTGCCGTCTCAGCCTTTAATCAAGCTACCAGCATCTTAAGTAACACTTTGCTTTATCCTGCCTCAAGTGGGTGGGGTGGGTGGGTGTGTGTATTTTGGAGGTCAGCAGTCTTTCTTTGAGACAAAGCAGACTCAGCTTTATCCCTTAGAAAGTGTTGTCAATTACACTCAACTCACACATTTACAGTCAACATGAACAGTTCAGGTTAAGCAATGTAGGGCAAAAGTCAGATTCAGAATAAGGATTATACTGTGAATATTTATATTAATAGCTATTGTTTATCACTGTCCTTAATTTGAATATGGATGGCAAATTTCTAAGACAGATCATTCGGTATTTATGAAGATGAATGATTCTTCCTCCCAGTAGAGTAAGGATTGTAAATGGCAATGTAATCAGCATGTACAGCCTAGAGCTGCTCCACTGACAATAAATGGGAAGGCTGGACTGCTGAGATTATATATGATAAAAAAAATGTAACTAAATTCGCATGGTGATGATAATAAGCAATTGGCAGGGAATCACTGACATCATCAGAACCCCCCCCCCCGGGTGATTTCACTCTCATTCAAATGCTTGTGAAATCCAGACTGCCATGTGATGAAATGCCCTCTTCATTTTGTCTTTCTGTGTCTTTGTGTCTGTCTGACTTTGTCAATCTCTGTGATTAGAAGCGGATCCAGAAGCTGCACGCAAAGCTGATGCAGCAGAGGCTCAGTCAGATCCCCAGGGTAGGACACAGAGACACACACACATAAACACACACAAAATGCATTTCAAGAACGTTTAAATACACAAATCAAACACATACAGTACTCTGATCTTTAAAGTGTCTTTTTTCCCCTTTTTTGCAGTCCTTAGCAACCTGTTGAACTCCTCCTAGACCAGCAATGATCACATGACTGCCTGGACCAACTAAAGGCAAGCAAAGTGGCAATCTCACTGTTAGGCTCTACCTTCTGTAGAGCTACATTACTGTGAGGCCCCAGAGTAGGGCTGTGTGTGTTTCTGTCTGTTTGATTGTGTGTGTGTGTGTGTGTGTGTGTGTGTGTGTGTGTTGGTCTGTGTGAGCCTGTGTGTGTGTGTGTGTGTGTGTGTGTGTGTGTGTGTGTGTGTGTGTGTGTGTGTGTGTGAGTGAGTGAGAGAGAGACACTGTGTGAGTGTGCATATGTGTGTTCATTCTTGTGTGTGTGCATATATGTGGGGACAAATGAGTTAGAAAAGAAATAGCAAGTAGATATATGTGAACCTTAGGGCTTTTATGATTGTTGCAAAATAGACATTCATTGAAATGATTGGTCGAACTTTCTACTTTAAACCAAATCCAACACCTTTTTTCAAGACTGGATATTAAAGAGATCAAATCTCAAATTAAGTGTGACCATGAGATGGCAAAATTATAGAACTACCTTTTTTAATTTTATTTGTATGGCTACTATCCAGCTCTAGAAATTCAGTGTGAATATAAACCAGTGACAGATACTGATGTTGTAGACATTCAACTTTGTACTGAATTCTTAAGTGTTTTTCCTTTCTTTTTTTTTTGCCATTTATGTCATTGTTTTAGCCACCAATATGATTTCGGAAATCCACTGGCACTATTAAGTACAAGATATATGTCTTTTTCATTGTGATTTCCTGCAGTGCAAATGCAGGGTAGACGGATAACAGGGGGTTTCAATAACTACCGCTGTATTTCCTGGATTCTGGCTAGGAAAAATAGTAAAGGATTACAATTGTAGGATTCTGGGGATACAGTTATATGGTCCAACGCGTGTTCAGTGGGCCTCTAATGTCACTGTATGCGTGTCTGTGTGTGTGTGTGTGTGTGTGTGTGTGTGTGTGTGTGTGTGTGTGTGTTTGTGTGTGTGTCTTTTTTGATTGGTGAAGGGGCTTAGTTTTAAATTCTGTTGGGTGATTACCATTCCTCCTCAGTTCAACGAATTGATACTGAAATTATGATTGAAATGAAAATCAGTGAATCTTTTAATTAAACACACGAAAAATCAAAATGAAACAAAACAAAGTTTATTAATTGCAAATTCATTAAACAATGCCAATTTATTATCTTCAATTTTGAACATTGCAAGAATATATATTTGAAATTGACTGAGGTGAGTTGAAGTGAAGACTAATCCAACCCTGTTCCTGTCAATGTATGATTGTTCACCTGACACGGACAAAAGAGGTCTTATAGAAATGTATTAGACATTGTTCTGATGTAGTATGTGTCAGTCTAGTTGTGATGCAGTAATTTCTCCTCTATAGTGCCTTTTATACTGACACAGCCTGGCTTGACCAATCTACAGACACACAGGGAAGAGATCTGGGACAATAAAAGTAAAAACAGGCAAAATAGTAGATCATTAGAATTATTAATTATTACATTAAAATTGAGGAACATAGGATCTTAATAAATACATAAATTATCACTTTGGTGATTGAAAAGCCTCAGCCTGAACTGTATGTATGTGAAACTGTTACACTGTTGTAACAGCTGCTGTATATCTGTTCACATGGGTCTAGTTTTTATTTCCAGTACTTTTTCAACTAATATTGCATTCCAAACTTTTTAACAGCCTCCGTTCATTTCAGCAGTAAAACTCTCCTCTTTGTGTCTCTTTAGTTGAGCAAGCCAGTTGCTGTCACAGTGTTTTTGTATCATTCATATTTCCATTCACCTGTGATTTTTATATGGATTTTTACATCTAGCATTGGTGCCTCAAAGATGACACAGATAGTCTTTAGTCAACTCGTTTGCTGTGGTATTTTGTGATTATTATTGTGAAATGCCTCAGAAGCAGCGCTACAGCATAAAAATAAAAAAAGCCCAACTGTTGTTGTTTGTTTTTTGCCACTGTAGCACAAAAAATATTAACTTCTGAATGTCTTTTTGTTGCCTTGCAGTTTTGTACTTGCTCTGCTCCCTTTAAACTTTGAAAAAGGGTTATAGAGGTTGCATAGTGCTGCAGTTTGTGTAAACTGTGTTACTTGTAAAGCACCATATAGCTGCAATACAGGACAGAGACTGTTGCTAACAGCCTAGCCTCAAGATGAGAAATATTAATAGTCTGATGTCACATATCGATTAATCCTACTGTATAAACTGTGGGCTGGACGCTGGGTCAAAGCTCTGTTTGAAATGCCTTCTTATCCTTTAATCTGTGATAGACTGAGTTTCTCTTGACACATTGAACAAGTGGATAGTTGGTCTGAAATCTCTTACTGCATCTGCTTCAATGGCATGGGGGGATAATGCACAAAATACCTGATAATAGTACAAGCTTTCAGATATAGCCAGTGATGCCTTCAAAACAGAAAATCCTCCTTTTAATGCAGTACCTACCCACTTTTTACTCTCTAATAAGTACAATAGGAATCAACAAAAGCACTCTGCTGTCCTGCAGTGCAACTTCAACCTTCCTGTGGCTGATTTGATGTAAAGGAGACACCTATCCCTACAAATGGAACAAGGCCTGCTTGTGTTTTGAGCATTATGGTCCACTCTACATTTAGTCCCAAGCCAGTCAGATTCCTTGTAAACACAAGTGACTGGAGCATAGCATCCAAACCAGAATGTAAAACAAGGAAATCATAGACTTATTGGGTCCTGAAGTGCACTTTCCAGATAATGTTAGGGCATCAATCATTGCGCTGACCAGTCCTGCCTTATGTCGCCTCTCGAATATTCCAGATAGGAAAACAAAGAACAATGTTGTCATCAGAAAGAAACTGAAACAAGCAAGAGATGTTTTGCAGGTGATTTTAATAACATAATCTCTATGGGAGAAGCACTTTCCTATCCTGTATACATCTTGATTTATTAAACATATTTAGACAATTCATTTTTGATTTAGACTAGTGACTCTTCCTTTTTATTTAAATATTCTGTGTTTTTATTTTGTGTAGAAACTGTCTTCTTCATTTTTTGTCATCTGGCACTTGTGTTGTTCTTCTGGAATTGTGTAAATAATGTTTGAGGAGTCAATTAAACAGTTTTCGTGGGAGTTGGTGTTGTGTTTCTCTGCCAGATATCTTTGTCTGGTCTGTGTGTGCGTATGTGATTTGTTTTTTACTATCACACATAAAATTACCTTATTAAACTCATTGAAATGTTCAGCCAGTCTGCCTCATGCCTCGCTGATCTTAAAGAATTGTATTAAAATACTGGGATTCTTAGAGTTAAGATACATAGTTTTTTTCCACTGATAGAAAAACACCTTTATGTAAAGTTTGTGCAGTTGTGTGTGCCTCACTCTCTCTCTCTCTCTCTCTCTCTCTCTCTCTCTCTCTCTCTCTCTCTCTCTCTCTCTCTCTTTTCTTTATGAAATGACCTGCAAAGCTTGATATGTCAGGTATTTATTGAAGGAAACTCATACACATAGTTTCGAGTGTTGTGAGTGATTGATGGTGACAGGTCCATAAAGGTACACCTGAGGCCTGAAGTAAAATGTGGGAAACCACGTAGGTTTCTCCTGTCAAACGTATACACACGCCATTGCTGTGCATGTGCACATTTGCATTTCATACCCACTAGTCATTACCCCTGTAAACCACCTAATTAATCTCAGCACTGCAATAGGCTTTGTTGACTTCATATTGACTCAATAATGGAGTTGATTTGATTCCAAGCAAATCAGACTAAATTATCTTTCATGGTTAAAACAATAAAACTGTGTTAGTGTCTGCGGGATAAACATATTCATAAAAATACCAGAGGTGAAAGATGAGTTCAGATAATTTACTCAAGTGAAAGTACTTATACCCCAGTGTAATGTAATACTGCATTCAAATTAAAAGTAGTTTAGTTAAACAGAATAGTTATAGATATATTGATTTACTGTAAAATGACAGCAGCAGTTTAAGGTTGCTGGTTCAAGAAGCATCACCTGTTGGGTTGTTTAACCCAGTGGTCCCCAGTCAGTGGATCAGGGACCTCCACGGAATCACAAGATACATAAAGAATCACAAAGCAAAAAGGTTGAGTGGTTTAAACTTCAGCAATGAGCAATTCTTCATGTTCTATCATATGTGAGGTTTTGACTGATGATCCCATCCTTACTCAGGATTTTCATTATGAATACATCCAAACTGTGCTTAAACAAAGTACACCCTGGGAAAATATTCTTTGGACTGAATCCAAGAAACTTTAATAAGACAACATTTCATACAGTAGCCTATTAGTATGGATGGGAAATAGAACAAAACAGCAGGATAACTGCATGTCAGCATCAGCATCTGGAAACTAAAGCAGAAGATGCCAACTATGGACTGTGAGGTGCATCCTGCTGACGTTCCAGTGGTTTCTAATATTTTTTGTTTATGACTCCTTAAAATGAAAAGCTGTCTTTCTGAGACCTTTGTGTGGACATGAGTTGTAAACACTTCACATAAAAAGCCGTGTTTATTTCTAAGACTTCCTCGCTTGAATATGTTTAGGTACCTGAAGTAGTCAAAGTATAGTAAGCTATTTCACAAGAAAAAGGGAGAACATTTTTACTACCTTGAACCGTTTCAGGGGCCCCAGTGCGCTTTTTTTTTCCTGTGCGCATTTACTTCACACATTAAGGGAACCGTGGCTGTGCGCCGATAAGCCAATCAGTACTGTAGAGTCAGAGAGGCGGAGCCGGTGTCTTCAGCAGACGTGGAGGGAAATGTACTGCGAGATGTGTGACCTCCTTGTAGATTTATGAATCAGTACACTGTGCAGGTATGAGGTGAGTCCCCTTTGGCTTTTTAAAACAACAGCACCAGCAGAATGAAATAAAAAATACAGGAACAAAAAACTAAAGGATGCGACCACCTGATGTCGACGATTTTCCCCTTCAAGACACTGCAGACTGTGTTCACACTTAGTACCTCAGCTACAGTTAACGTTCATACTTATTAACTTAATGTTTACCTAAACAGTGCGACATCAGTCTGTACAGTACAGTTTATTTGTACGTACTGTCAGCGGAGGACACCGATCATTCCTGCTGTGAAAGGCAGAGGTCCCTGCGATGTTTATTGGAGTACTTCCTCAGTTCTTGGCAGTGTGCCATGGTGCGAAGTGAAAAGGAACCAGTTGGACTGAAAGGGCAGTGAATAGTTAGGGAACAACTGTAGGGCAAAAACTGGAAAGTTGAAAAGCAGTTATGGAAGAAGTATTCAGATCTTAACCTTCTGTAAATGAGTGACATATTTTATTTCATATTTAATGGCTTTCCCTATGTTAATGAGGATGAATGGGTAAACATAAGATTAACAGCCAGTTAAATCAGTGCTCTGTACACGTTGCAGGACGTTTTATGTAAGAAGTAGGATCATTTTCTCAGCTGACAAAGGATCCCTTAATCCTTCAGTGTCATAACATTTTAAATTTGGAATCACCAAATTTGGAGATATGAGTCTTTCTCTGGACAGGAAAGGAATGAAAAAGTATATGATCTAGTAGCTAAAACTGTCAACAATATTTCCCCTTCAGATGTAGTGGAGTGGAAGTATAATGTTGCATTTAATGGAAATACAACAAGTAGGCTTACCTTAAGTACAGTGCTTGAGTTATATTCCAGCATTATTATTTATTTTTATTTTAAGGTCAATTAAATAGCCAAAATGACTTTAGTCTTTCACCATAAGGTCCCTCCTGTTGGAACAGCTTCTCCTCCCCCTGCTCCTGGCAGCAGGGAGAGATGTCACAGGGGAGAAGGTGGACAGGAAGCCAAACTTTGTCCTGATGATGGTGGACGACCTCGGCATCGGTGATATAGGTTGCTACGGTAATGATACTATCAGGTCAGTCCAATATACTGTCAGTGGTCAGTCCTAACAAGTGTGTCATGGTCTGTGTCTTTCTTTCTCTTTCCTTTTTACTCACTCATTCCCTGCTTCTATTATCTCTGGTTCTACTCTATATAGTCTATTTCAGTATCTCTGTTTCTTGTCTCACTCAGATGTGCTGCCTGAACATTTTATGTGTATTTATTACATTATCTACAGTATATGTCTCTGTTCTACCTATTTACACCTGTTCTGTCCCTGTAGGACTCCCAACATAGACAGACTTGCTTCTGAAGGTGTAAAGTTGACTCAGCATATTGCAGCTGCTCCCCTCTGCACTCCGAGCCGGGCCGCTTTTATGACGGGCCGTTATGCCCTCCGCTCAGGTAACAGATAAACATCCTGGTCGTATTTATACAGCAATGATTGACAGTATGTTCCATATTTGTTTGTCAGGGGTTTAAGCTCTGAAGGGGCTGAAACCCTATTGATTTTGTGACAGGTTATTATTATTAGTATTTGTATTTGTCTGCTGCAAAAGCTCAAACTGCTGTGAGCTAGAATTAGCTAGAAACATGAAACCTGGCCCAATAACTCAAAATTATCCAAGAAACAAGAGCCCAGGTGGCCAGATGGTGGCGCTGTAATTAAGGCTCAAAAATCACACACAAATGTGCTCTAGAAAAAAACCTTTTGTACCACTAAAGCCCTTCTAACTAGATTGTCTGCCATTTTGATTTTTTTTAAAGAAAATATGTTTTTTTCATTGGACAAAGCTTATCAAAAGTTGCACTTGTTGATATCTTATATAGTTTTCAAGATATTGACAAATAAACTTCAGAAGGGCCATGGCTCAGCACATAAATAGACATAAGTCAACAACCGATGGGCCAGTCATCACAAAACACAGGATATGTCAACATAAGTAGATGAAGTAGAAGAAACATACCTTGAAAGTTTCATGCGAGTTGACCACTAAGGGCCGCCACAAATGCAGAGAATTTGTGTGGAATAAATCAGTCTATAAACCAAAAATTGTGTGTCCAATCATCACAAATCCTGTAGAATAATTTTCATAACAAAACTGAACCACGTGTGTACAACTAATTAGAAATGTCTAATTAGGGGGGCGCAAACCCCAGAATGGCAATAGCTTGTGGCTATATTTCATTTTATTTTTGCATGTATCTGTTGTCTAGGAATGGGTAGCACAGGCCGTGTGCAGGTGCTGCTGTTCCTTGGAGGTTCAGGGGGGCTACCACCCAGTGAGACCACCTTTGCGAAGAGGCTGCAGCAGCAAGGATACACCACCAGCCTAGTGGGTGAGATAGCATAATGTGACATTTCTCCTGACCCGTCCCCAGGCAGCAGAGAAAGGGCAGTTATGGACACTTCAGCAGGTCAGATGGTCAGAATGACACTTGTTTACATGCTAGATGTGTGTGTATATAGAATAAAATTAAAATGTGTGTGTTTAGTGTTCAGTAGTTTAAAAAGTATGAGGAAAAACTTAAAATTTCTTGGGCCCCGACAGAATACAAAAACCATTTGGGTTTGTATTTGGCAAGTAAGAGAAAGATGTCCAGTTGTATGTAGGATGTTGAAATTTGTCTTATGCATCTTCCTGTTTCTCCTCTGTCTCAGAGTGTCTGGTACTCCATCTGTTTCTCTCTGTGTCTCTGCAGGTAAGTGGCATTTGGGCGTGAACTGTGAACACAGAGGGGACCACTGCCACCATCCAAACCAGCATGGCTTCAGCTACTTCTACGGCCTGCCATTCACCCTTTTCAATGACTGTGTGCCCGGAGAGGGGAATGATGTCCTGGCAGACCTCCAGCACACACTCCGAAATCTCACCTTGTTGCTTGGAGTTGGACTTTTCACTCTGGTACGGTTGATTTTGTGTCTGTTTACCGTTTATTTTCCTCTCCTTAGAAATTATCACACAAAGGTCCATCTAAAAAAAGACACATAGAGGCACATATTATGAAAATAATATGGCTGAGCTAGGAAACAAAATCAACAACCATAGCAAAACAAAACTGAGAGATACGTTTGGATTGCCAGGCGAAGAGGAAGAAATTGGGAAACAAAGACTTGCTGTACCATTCACCCCAAAGTAAAATAACAAATGCGTAATCGGTTAGATATGAGCCACAGGGTAGAAAAAAGGATTGGGAACAGAAGCTGCAATTGTGAAACTCAGTCACCTTAGCCAGAAACCTGTTTTAGGGGAAAGTAAAGTAATATTGAAACTGCCTGTATCTAAAAAAGAAGAAAATATGAGTACAACATAAAAAACCAGCAGGAAGTCATAAGTTTATAAAACTGTTTTCAGATCGAAACTGAAGTTTTTACCTACAGTATGTATTAAAAGGACACAATGTACTAGTTGTTTTACTTAGTGAAAATAAATAACTAACTTTAGCAATGGTTTGTGATAACATCTAGTGGCAACATCATGGAACTACATCAGAATCCAACTCCAGACAGAGAATAATATGAAGTATCCTGGTACCAAGATATTACATGTTCAATGCAATACAGTGCAACAACCCTGCAATATATAAATAATATTGCAATATAACCGTGGTATCCCTGTGAAATATGTTTTATTGTCTAAGACAGAAGATATTGCATATAATGGTCTCATCAGAATTTTTATAACCTCAGAAAAATGTCTGTATGTATGTATGGAGACAACATGATTATTTATACTCGTATAGATAGTCTAGGACTTTTGGCTCTTCCATAAAATTTAATTCTTCAAAAAGATTTAAAAAAGATTAATATTGATGTTATGCAAAAACATGTTACCTAATCGTTGTTGTCGGGCGGAAACCTCATGTGTCCAAAACCATTACGGTTCAGGTAATGGACAAAATAATTGAACACTGTGTCACCAAAGTTGGTATTGATAGTTTTATTACTTTTGATTGGTTAAATACTTGTGAAACCCACAGAAAGACATAAAAGGTGACCAATATGAATATTTATGGCAAAATATGGATGTTTTACCCTGACAGTGACGTATTATTATATAAATTACTGTATATAATTTTATTTATATTGTTTAATTTTTGTCTTTAGGGTGTTGAGTATATTAGTGACTTAATTGAAACCAAAGTGCCCAGGCAGTTTAATTCATACTGTATCTGGCTGTGTACTCTGCAGCAGTGGTTTCACTTAGTGTGCTGGTGTGTGTATTTTCAGGTGTGCGTCCGTGTGTGTGGCCTCCTTGAAGTTGGCCTGTGGCTCCTGGTAGCACTATTTTGTCTCGCTATCCTAGCAACCGCTGTGTGGTATTTTCCCTTTAAACTCCTCCCGACCTGGAACTGCATCCTCATGAGGAACCAAGAAGTGATCGAACAGCCGATGACAGTGGAGACACTGCCCCAGAGGTTGCTGGGAGAAGCACAAAATTTTATAAAGAGGTAGGAATACAGGAGCAAAACAATGTGTTGTTTCCTGTTTTTTAAAACAATTTTGGCATCATCAGAATAAACCCTGCTGGGTAGCTTTGCAATCTGATCGGAGCAGCTTCATATTTTATTTACATCTGTGGTTTGATTAGGGATTGACTGCTTGTCCATATCACGGAGACAGCGTGTGTGAAATTGTACTTTTTATTGAGTACTGTCCCTCTTGGATGGATCTCTTGATGGAGTGTTATACTTTTCAGAATAAGGCTGGCACTACTCTATTTCTCTTTGTCATCAAATTCCATAAAAACGATAATGTTGATTAGTCTATCTCTCAGTACTTTCTTAGTCTTTCTTACACTGTTTGTGGCACTCAGCCCAAAGCCCATTTGTTTCTACTGAAGATGTAAATCTTAAGAAATGGTCCAAAAATATATAGTGTATTTAATTCAAGTAATTTCCTTAAACAGGACATTGTACTATTATCAGTTGTTCTTGGGATTAATGTTTATATTTTATAAAGAACACTTTTATATTTATGTTATTTATGTTTTATTTTATTTAAAAATACAGTAATACTCATGGCCACTGAGTATTACTTTATTTCTTTCTGTTATTTATCTCTCCTCTTCTCTTCACTACAGGAATGTTGATCGTCCTTTCCTCCTCTTCTTCTCATTGGCCCATATTCACACACCGCTCTTCAAAAACCCCGCCTTTGCTGGCAAAAGTCGCCACGGTCGTTACGGTGACAACCTAGAAGAAGTGGACTGGATGATTGGTGAGTGAGAGCTGTAAAGTCAATGTGCGAATACAGGCTTGCATAGTGTAACATTTCACGAAGGTGTAGACGTCCCATCATCACTGACACCTCTGTGTACTGTATAGTGCTGTTCTGTGTATGTGGCATTTCAAAGTTATGATAACTACTGTCTCTATATGTTGATGGAGTTTCTACTCTCTCACGTTATCTATTACCTATCTCACATCTCTAATGCTATATTAAAATGTTTTCTAGGTAAAATAACAGAGACGGTGGACTCCCTTGGCCTAGCCAACAGTACTCTGATGTACTTTACCTCAGACCATGGTGGACACCTAGAAGATGCTGATTCGCTGGTCGGCCAGAAAGGAGGCTGGAACAGCATCTATAAAGGTAGACTTCATCAATAATCTGAAGGCTAAAGCATGTAATAGGTCACTGTAATAATTCTGAAAAGTAGTCTATAGTCTTGGTTAAATGGTAAATATTCCACAAAGTGTATCTTTTTTTACTGCATAAATAGAGATATGTGCTGTGTAATTTCTCGTCATCTCCCGTCTATAGGTGGGAAAGCTATGGGGGGCTGGGAGGGGGGGATCAGGGTACCTGGTATTTTCCGCTGGCCTGGCAGACTGGCAGCTGGAAGAGTAGTGGATGAACCCACTAGCCTCATGGACCTGTATCCAACACTGAAATATTTGGCCAAGGACACACAACCAGACAGGTACAGTAAGACTGTCTAATGAAGGTCTAAAAGCTTCTGTTATGTATGAATACAATAGAACGCCAAAGACCATACAATTACAGATGATAATTACAGTGTGGATCCAAAAGTGCCTCATTATCTGTAAACAACCACAGCTTTTGTTTAGGGGAAGGCTGCTGTGTGGACACTGATTTAGCTAATTTAGCAAGCAGTGTAGGTGGCAAATTATTTACTTATTATCCTGACAAAACAATGTTGTGTTCCAAAGACAATTACTTTCCTAATACTGTAGTTAATAATTACAGTGTGAGACTTATCATAGAGCAAAAGGTCAAAAGTGTATAATCTTTCTGCATGTGGTGTTGTGGTAATGCTCTCTCCCTTGATTTTAAGGCGCATCTGTAATTCACTTTCTCCCTCTTCCCTCTTACTGTCTCTTAATTGTACCTTTCTCCCAGACAAATAGATGGCTATAACCTCATGCCACTGTTGGAGGGGAAGGTAGAGCAATCAGAGCATGAATTCATGTTCCACTACTGTGGAATCTACCTGAATGCAGTACGCTGGCACCCACCCGGAAGTAAGTTCACACATATAGACACAAAGATGCATTTAATTATCTAGCAAATACACCGATCAGCCATAACTTTATGACCACTGACAGGTGAATTGAATAACACTGATTGTCTCATTATTATGGCACAAGTGTGTGGGATATATCAGGCAGCAAGTGAACATTTTGTCCAAGTTGATGTGTTAGAAGCAGGAAAAATGGGCAGCGTGAGGATTTGAGCGACTTTGACAAGGGCCAAATTGTGATGGCTAGACCACTGGGTCAGAGCATCTCCAAAACTGCAGCTCTTGTGGGGTGTTCCCGGTCTTCAGTGGTTAGTACCTATCAAAATTGGTCCAAGGAAGGAAAAGCGGTGAACTGGAGACAGAACCGGCCATGGCTCATTGATGCATGTGGGGAACGAAGTCTGGCCGAGCAGCCGAGCAGCCGAGCAACTGTAGCTCAAACTGCTGGAAAAGTTAATGCTGGTTTTGATAGAAAGGTGTCAGAACACACAGTGCATCACAGTTGGTTGTGTATGGGGCTGCATAACATTATGAACACCAGGTTGCCCAGGTGGTCATAATGTTATGGCTGATCAGTGTAAGGTCTGATATTTAATTTGGCAGAAAAAGCCAAACTGTACCTAAACTGTACTTTACTATCAGGCATTCACAGCTAAACTAAAAAGCAGCTTAAGACTCAAGCTAAAACTTGATATATTATAATATGTGTATATGTGAATGAGTGCAGTAATATGGTAAAAGTCTACAAGTTCTGTAGGTGTAGTCTCTGTTGTTTTCTGGCTTTTATAAAACTTTTAAGATGAAATTGAATAACAAAACCTTTGACAGATTTCTAACCAAGAACTCTGATGAGGGATGGCTGTTGTCTGATAGTAGCTATTCTAATTCCAGCTCTGCTTACCTGGTGTTGAATCAAATCTGAATCTGAATATTTCCATATTATTTTGACAAGTAGAGTATTAGGGCCAGACTTAGAAACATTTTATTTTTATTTTTTTTGGAAATTACGCGAGTCATAATATTACGAGAGTCATAATGTTACGAGAATAAAGTCATAATAATACGAGAATAATGTAATAATAATACAAGAAAAAAAAGTAGTTTTTATGAGAAAAAAGCTTCGATAGAGTTATCAAGATCTGACGTGACCAGCTCAACCAAACAGCAGCCTCAGCCTGAGCCCAGCAGCCGCTGTTTGTCTCAGTCAACAGGTAATCTAACGTATTGATAAGTTTGTCGTTGACAGTTCTCATAAAATTACTACTTTATTCTCATAACATTATGACTTTATTCTCGCAATATTATTACTTTATTCTCGTAATGTTACGACTTTATTCTCGTAGACCTAATATTATGACTTTATTCTCGTAATTTCCCCCCCAAAAAATAATTAGTATGGCACTAATATTCCGTCGTAATTTTGTGATCTGTACTATCCAAATAAAGTGGAACCAAGGATTTTACTGAGCTGCCTCTGAATATACTGTAAACATGTGCATGTGTGTTTCCATCCAGGTGACTCTGTCTTCAAGGTGCACTTTTTCACCCCCAACTTTTCTCCCCCGGGAGCCGGTGGATGCTATGACACTAAAGTCTGTCTTTGTCATGGAGAACATGTGACACACCACAACCCACCACTGCTGTATGACCTTTTCCAAGATCCCTCAGAGTCCCGCCCACTGACTCCTAATACTGAGCCGCGATATGCTGAAATCCTTGAGCAGACTGCCAAAGCTGTGGTGAGACATCAAAATACCCTCACAAAAAAGCAGGCGTCTGATGACACTCATTCACACCCCAATACAGATGCAGATGGTGTTCAAAGCCAGATGACATGGGACAAGATTCTGTGGAGACCCTGGCTTCAGCCCTGCTGTGGGACTTTTCCATTCTGCGGGTGCAAAGAAGACACGACACATATTTAAGGAAAAAAATCCACCAGATAGTTTTATGAAGTTGAATAGCTTGGTGAAGCTCCTTTGGAATCTGTGGCAGAGTTTTGACATTTTTCAAGATCTAATGTAATACTGTATTTTCTGTGATTCAGGGTGCATTCAGGAGCATTGAGTGTTCTTTTTTTTAGTGTTAGAGCATTTTAAAGATGGGTCTTGAAAAGATTTGGAGTTGGTGTAAAAACTGACATGCTTTTTTGGTCCTAAAATTTAAATTGCTGGTACAGTGGAATTAATTGTATTGTAATGACATTTGTTTTTTCAGTAAATTTAAAATAAACACAGCTAAACTAAACTTAAATCCAAATGAAGTCACCCAAAATTGACAGATATGATTGCCAGGTTGCCACTGAATACCATTTTGGGTAATTGGCAATCAATTCTTGGCCTTTGGTCGCCATCAGTGGCAGCCACTCTTACATATAAGGAACAGGGACAGCAAACAGCAAAGCCTGCAGCTCAATTCCTTTTTCTTTCTTTCTTTTTTTTTATATTTGTGGCATTACTGATAATATTGTTGTTACAGTTGGAACCAAAACCAGACACCATTTGCATGTAAATTGGTGCATTTACTTGCAGGCACGCAGGCATCTGTTTAAGAGACAAATTAAGTTGTTTGACTGTGGGGTGAAAGTTCAACTAACCCAAAGCTTACACACACACACACACACACACACACAGAGAGACAGAGACAGAGACAGAGAGAAGAGAGAGAGAGAGAGAGAGAGAGAGAGAGAGAGAGAGAGAGAGAGAGAGAGAGAGAGAGAGAGAGAGAGAGAGAGAGAGAGAGAGACTACTGTAATAAAGCTTTTAAACATTCTTTTATGCCACATTTTCTTTATTAGACTGGTATATAGCTCCATAGTATTTTAATTACTTTAAATAAATGCTGACTAAAAATGGCGACCATATTTTCAGTTTTGATAAGCACTTATTAAAGGTTAGTGTTGAGCTGTGGTATTACACTCTTACAATAAAGCCAAAAAAGGATACACTGGTACATACATGACGGGGAAGTCTAATGTTTGCATTAAATAAGCAACATAAAAACAGTGCTTTAAGAACATGAGACAACTTATTTTAAAACAATCCTTAACTGCATTTCTGTATTATTGAACAATGTATTCTTATGCTGATAATCAAACCTATCATAGAGCTTACTATGACTTCCAAAGATGTAGCTTAGTCAACATTTCAGTTTGTAGTAGTAGTAGAAGGACTGAAAATAGAGGTAAAATTCCTCAAGGAGGTAGTTTGGACTGTGTGCCATTAGAGGGCAGACTCAGACTGTGGTTTTACTGTGTGTACTTATAAGGGGGAGAGAGAGAGATTTCAGGTCAGTTGGCCACTGTGGGCTCTTGTGCTTTGCTGCATGAATTATGCTTAAATATCAGGATTATACATATTTTCAGTTACACAAATACATAAACACTATGTAAAGCACATAATGTTTTGAAACTGCTGTAACATAGTATAATATTGCATCATTAGCTGGAGGTTAGAAATCCCTTTCCTTGTGTGTTTTTGTTTGTTTTTAACTTTAATACCTTCTAGTAATCATATTTTTGCTAATCCATGTTCCTCATGTCTACCTTCTTTACCTTGATTAACCTTCAAATTCCCACCTGTCACCCCCCCATTATCTCATCCTATTCATTTAAATAGTTTTGGTCAGAATTGATGCTTTTTGGTCTCTTTTCACTCACTCCCCTTTAGGAATGTGAGGGCACAAGGTCAGCTGCAGAACAGCAGTGCTCAAGGACACTGAGGCAGGGAGGTCCTGGTTTGACCATAAGGACGCCCTGTGGCTCCACAGATCTGCATTTATAAAAGACCTTTAAACACTGTGTGATCTCCATCATCAGTGTCATCGTCATTGATTATCATCATCATCAGCACTCGCACTGTCTCCCGCCAGCAGTGGCTGGCTGTCAAAACATCAAAGTTTGCTCCAGCAGTAGCCTATAATTGCTCCCCTTCCTTCCTCTACTCTCTGTTTCCTCTTCCTCCATCTCCTCAAACTGCTCTCTTCATCTCCTCCTCACTGTTGCCCTCTCGTATTCTTCCTCCAAGTGAGGAGGGGAACTTCATCATCATCATCATCAACACTGTAATCGTAGCCATCACAGTGTAGTATTTACTTCTCTCCCTCCAGCAGAGACCCGTACATCAAACACTCATTAAGTTCATTACAGTAGCCACTCCATTATATCTCCAACAGTAAATCATGCAGTCGACCATACATAACGACGTTTGGCTGTACATCAAAGTTAATGATGGCTGGTGGGGTAGAATGTTACTTGCTGTACATCATGTCATACGTAACCACGTGCACACATAATGCTCGTGCACACACATGCACACAGTAGATCATGTTGTTTTGAACAGATCAGTGGTTTTCTGTAAAGGTCAGTGTTTCAGGAGACTCCATAAAGCATTTTTATATCCCTCGGTTTGACACACATAAACACACATACAGCTTGAAAAGATAGGAACGTTGCGTGGCAGCTTAAACACGCTGGAAATAGCTCGCCTGTATCAAGCATGTTAAACCTACACTAATAGCTGGAGGGCTGTTGTTGCATTGTTTTTTTATTTAGTTGTGGGTTTGTGCCTTTAATTTGGATGATGCCAAGAATACAGGTCATTATAAGGCAACGGATGTTTTTAAAATTAACATTGTCAGTCAACTGTGGCAGAATATCTTTGTTGTGGAAAGTCTGTCTCTGAAATTAGTTTTCACTTCCATTGAAATTCACTGACAATGTCAAGCCTGGAAAATGTTTGTTGTGTTCACAGTAGCTTGAATTATAAAAAACATTCCGATAGTGACCTTTTAAATGTCAAATACACACACACACACACACACACACACACACACACACACACACACACACACACACCACAATTGTTTTATCAATTGTACTGTTTTTGAATGACAACTAACAAGTCTTGAAACTTTTTGCCTTTGAGTCGTATCTTTTCATGTTTCTCTCGTCTGCAAAGATTGCTTCCTATGAACTGCAGCTTTATCCACACCAGTTTAATAACACACCACTAAAAGGATAATTTAACATTTTAGGAAATAGTTAAGTTAGAGTTAGAGTTAAATGAGAAGATTGATACCACTCTCCTGTGTGTTTTAAAAGTTAAACTTGAGCAGTGAGCCAATTAGCGTAGCTTAGCATAAAGACTGGTAGCAGGGGGGAACAGCTAGCCTGGCTCCGTCCAAATTTGAGATACAGCATAGTGAGCTTTATAGACGACCAAGCTAGCTTTTTTTTTCCAGTTTAAGTTATAGTAGGTTAATCGTCTCTCCGATTTAGCTCCAAACATAACACAAATTTAAAGAAGCAAATAATTGTATTTCCCAAAATGTTGAGGTATATAGCTTTAATGGTAGCTAATCAATTATCTGTAGTAACCATAAGTGGCTACCTTTACATTTTTAAAACCAGATTTTTGGCCATAAATTGCATGTACATTCACATAATTAAAGAGTTTCACCATTAAATGAAACATTCTATGTGTTTGACAGCTGATCAATGACAGAAAATACTAAAACTGTGAAATACCCCTTTAAACTCACCTAACAACCTCTCCTCCTCCAGAGCACATCCTGTGCTTGTTTTATCCCAACGGTGTCACTGCGAGAAGATTCACGAGATAATTGGAGACCTACAAACACAGTAGCTGTTTGTTGGCTGTGGAAGTGTGGGAAGACAAGAAAAAGAAAATCTATTTATATACATGAAAATGAGGGCAGAGTCTTTGTGGCCAGTCAGTAGCCATATTTCTGTTCTGTTCGGCAGAGGTTTTGTTAAAACCACCACTGACCTCTGTGGTAAAGCCATCGGATACGATTACAATCACAGTCCACCGTAGCGTGTACTCTTTCCCTTCTATTGCCTTTTATTATTTCCTCAAAATTAAAGCTAACATTGTCTGCAGTGGGCTGAAATGCCCAGGGCATCATGACCAGGGAACTAAATAAGAAATTCACAGTACAATGTTGAAAAGGTTTCACAATAAGGGGGAAACAGGTAAAAATATTTCATAGATACAAGGTCCACTACTTAATTCTTAACTTTCCCAACCAACCATTCCAAGGAGAAGACCAACATTGCTCCATCAATCATATCTATTTGCAATCTATCTGTTTCTCTTTCTGGTTAATCTATCTTTTTCTTCTCACCTACCAGAAAAGATTGTTGTTGCAAAGCAGCAGTTACACACACATTACAACACTATTACATTAGGAAGCACAGAAAATGTGTGTGATGGAGCGAGAGAGTGAGAGAGCGAGAGAGCGAGAGAGTGAGTCTGTGTCAGGTTTGTCAATGAAGGGGCTTTTAGAGAACAGGATAGAAGTGTTTGCACTGCTGTTAGTGCCAAGTGGATTTGCGTGTGTGTGTGTGTGTGTGTGTGTGCAAGCAGTATATGTCTTTATGTATAATGATGCAGTACAGAGAAGAGAATGTATTAGCATGTGTAGCTGTGTGCTTATTTATGTCATACATTTCAGTGCAGCAGAGGCAGATTTTTGTGTGTTTACGTATTAGTTTGTGAGACTATGTGTGCGTGTTTCCAGGAGCACTGGGCAAAATTGTTAGTGTAACTCTGCTGGGAAACTTTCACTACACACACACACACACACACACACACACACACACACACACACGCTGACTCTAAGCCTTTCTCAATCTCTGCATGTCTGTACTCTGCCCTTGTATCTAAATGTAGATCTCATTCTGATCCCTGAGACCTGCGGGGGAGTTGTACTGCACCAGACCATGTTGTGCATTTGTGTGTTTAGTGTAGTACAGTGTCTGTGGTTTTAAGTATGTGTCATGTTGTGTGCCATATGGTCAAAATTACCCCACACGGGGGACAGAGCTTCAGGCAGGGAACAGGGCATTTGGACTTGCATGTCGGCACAGACACGTACACCGTGCACACATAGTCAAACTTAAGCACAGGCACAAACACCTTCCGCACACATTTTCTCAATCATGTACCCAATAGTGGCAAAAACACTTTCAGGCATTAGTACAATCATGCACACACTACCCCCTGCAAGTTTTCACATTCATCCCCTCTTTGGTGACAGGAAGTTATTAGTGAGGTGGGGTTTGATGAAGAACAGATAACTAAATAAGCAGGCTAATGGGGCAATTGTAGCCTATCACACACTCACACATGCTTAACCTGTCCTCCTGTCCTTATGCCTCTTAAACTGACAGAATTTGGCTCCAACACTCTCATCTGTTTTTCAGTTTAGCACTCGAAAAATGCTCTCAG